CAGCTATTTGTCTCAGATTAATCGTCCGATAGCATGATGACTACATTATGATATACACCTGTTCTTGCAGTTAATGTGTATAAGGGAACATATCACGCTATTAAGTCTGCCGCTACGTACTACCCCATACCGAAAGACAGAGGTATTCTTCTTTTTCCTGATCGAATTTTAGTACTATTCTCTATGATATTCGACCCTATCACACAAAATAAATATTCGAAATTATTCTAATTTTTTTTGTTTAGTTGTTTTTACTGAGATTGACATTTCCACAGAATTAGGCTCCATTTTTTTTATGAGATACATCAAGTAAATTGTTATGAATAGCTCCTATAATATCAGAAGATGAAATATCTGCTAAACGAATATCGATTGATTTCGGAACTGATTCAAGAGAGTGATAATCTAAAATTTAACCTTGTATCTTCGTAGAGAACATTAGATTCAAACTAATACAATTTTGTTGAAGTTAGAAATATGATTTGGATCAGAGTCTGAACATTTTCGACCCAGCGGATTCTATTGATACTATTGAAATTCTTTATTTAATGTTCAAGAATCGACATGCATCTTTATCTCCAGACATTTTTTTTTCTGACGTATTATCTCATCCCCTCATCTTGCAAACACAATTGTTTATTATACATACATTTGTTCATTTTTCATTAGCACTTTTATTATACGTTTGTTTTTCTCTATGGACCAATAAAAAAAAAAGAAAAGAAGAAAATCAATGGTCTATTGGTTGATAATGTCAATTGATTTTTTTTTCTTTTTTTCTCTTCAATGATTTTATATGTATTGTATATTATTACAGTTTTGCCATTCTTTCTGTCATTGATAGAAATTCTTTTGATAAATCGCAGGAATACTTCATGATTTTGTTCATTATTTTAATACTGGCACTGACGAGGGAACATTTTCGGGTGTCAAATCATTTTTCGATCGAGACAATATTCATTTGGTGAGTACTAGTGAGTAAGGAGAAAGCTTTGAATAGTTTAGTTTTCCGAATCGTCGATTTCGAGATAAGTTTTTCAACAAAAAGCTGTGATCATATAAAAAATCGATTGAATATTCAAAATTCTCTTATGTGTAAAAGCAAATTTTGTTTATATGTTCACATCTTCAGAAAGACAGTAGTAGAAAAGCTAAAACTTGCAAAATCAACTAATCTTATTAAGAACTTTATTCGTGCAAAGTTTGAAGTTGAAACTGGTCGATTTTTTAAGTGATCTAAGGCGACAGGATCCACTTTGAGTCGAACAATGAGCGAGGACCACAGTATCTTTTGTTGAAAACTCCATCTCGAATACGAAAAATCGGAAAACTAAACTCTCCCAGACTTTTCGATTACTCGTTAAATGAATATTGTCTCGATCGAAAAACGATTTGGCACTTTGAGAGATTTTCTCGTCAATCATGCACAAGAATTGTCTTTATTATCAATCTTAAACATATATTTAGATTATATGTATTCTCAGATTTATACTGAAAATAATTCGTATCTATTCAATACAACAAATTTTAATAATCAACATGAATTAATAACAAATAATAATTATTCATCATCAGATTGGCAAATATCAATACCATTTAATACTAATAATGAATCAATGCTTGCATCATGTTATACTGATGATCATGATACAAATTCATATAATTGTGAAAAGTTTTTTTTTTGTTCTTAAATTATTATTATATAAATTTTATTTTTTAGCTTATTTGTATGAATGTGTTAAATGTGGTATTACACAATTAGGCCATATTACACATTGGAGTGCAGATATTAATGGATTTAATATATGTCATAAATGTAATATTTCTTCGATCGTCAATAGAAAAAATGTTTGTATATACATATATGTATATCTTTTAATTATATTTTCTTAATTAAATATTTTAGATTACTTCAGATAATCAATGTGCAAATTGTTATACAATAGATACAACATTATGGAGAAGAAATTCTAGTGGAGAACGTGTTTGTAATGCTTGTGGTCTTTATTATAAATTACACGGAGTATGTACTAGTTTAGAACTTTCATAATACATTATTTAAAATATCAGAACTCTTTGAATTTCATTTCATAATTATGCGAAGAATTTTATCTTTATAAATAAGTATTTCGTTATCGAAATGTCACCTTGACGTCAGTATTAGAAAAATATAAGAATTAAATTCCATACGAGTAACTATAATAATTGTGTAGAGATTCTATAACGATGTATCAATACAGTTTTGTTAGCAAAATAATCTCTACACTTTTAGATATTCTCAAATAAATATTTCTTCAAATCCAATATAGATAGAAAAGTTTGACAAAATAGACAATGTAGAATATTATAAAGTATATTGATTAGAGATATGGGGGATTAGTCTTAATCATCGATATCATAAAAATAAAAATCTACTAGAGACTAGACTATGAGAAAAAAAATTGTTCTAATCGAAACAAAAATTTTCTATTATGAAAGTTATCGGAATTAAAAACATTCGATCTCACATATCTCTAGTATTAATACATCTAAAGAAAGTTTGCACGAATTATTATAGATATTCATATTAGATAAATGCTAGCTGAATACTTATATCATTGATTTAAAACAAGGAAAGGAGTATTACATTGAATATGTTTTGTCATAAATAATAAATAAATATGATATGAATAATATTTTTGAATAGATTTGTCGACCGTTAACATTAAAAAAAGTTGGAATACAAAGACGAAAACGTAAATCAAAAAAAGATAAATCATCAACAATGAACAATATTACATTTCTTGATAAGATCGATAGTATGTTCAACATATTTTTTTTTTTTTTGTTTTATTTCTTATAATTTCTTCTAGAACGATCTTCACCAATTATTTTCGATACATCATTATGTACATTTAAAAATTATCAACAGTCGAATAATCTAGAATCTTCTTATACAAACTATTCAACTGATCCTATATCTGATAATGTCTTATTTTCATATAAAACATTTTCATGATATTTTGTAATTCATCATCATTGGTTAAACAACTTCCGTCATAATATAATTATTCATAACAATAATCAAAGTGTTATCAAGGACATAAAAGTTATTTTTAAAATAAAATTGAATATAACATTAAAACAAAAAAATTCATGGATTGAATATACGAGTTTTGATGTATAAAATAAAATGTTTACATTCAAAATATTTCTTATCAGATTCAATTGTTTTTTTTTTCTAAAAGAAAGGAAATATACACATAGTCATCGAGTATATTGCATGAACTCTTTTGCATATCAATTTATATCGAAATGATTTTCTTAGTTAACTTTACTTCTGTCCTTCGTTTAGTGTCTTTGAATTAAAGAGATAAAGATTGTTTATAGGTGTAAAAAAAGAGTTAGATCAAGATATGTTTAATTTCGTGTGACCTTCCTCTCTCATAATTACTAATGAATCCATGTAAGTTATGATGCAGTCACTATAGAAGGCATTACGACTTAGGTTTGCATCTTTCCAATGAGCGAGAACCGTGTTGGTGGAATAAGAGGTAAGAATAAAATTAGAGCATACCAGAAATCTACATATCTCTAGTGAAGATACTCATCAATAATACTGAATGTTTCCTGAGTAGTCCAATATAGTTTTTGTGTACTCTGATAGTTTATGTAAAATACTCATAAGTTTATATTCTGTTCAGTATTGTTGTATTACATCCATTTTATTTAGACATAAAATTAAATAAGAGAAAAATACAAGTGTACATAATGAAAGTTTGCAAAAACAATGAATATTATCATACGCAAAATTCACAAAATTTATCTCAAATCAATCTCGAGATATTAGATAAGTAAAGTTAAACAGATTGACTTTTTCTTCCATCTATTGATAAAAAATAACATAGAACCAATCTGTTCTCAGATCATTTGAATTTCGGAAGTTGATCAATCAATTGTAAATAGTCTACATATCCTAGAATAGAAGACTGATTGATGATTTCATCACAATTTTTCTAAAGATTAGGTGTATAGTCATTGTTCGATTTTGTGTCACGTAAGATTAAAAACATGATGTTGGAATTGAACCATTCATATAAAAATAGTCGGAGTAGTATTAAATGAAAATCAATAAATGGAAGATGAAATCATTAAAACAAAAACAAAAAAAATATGAGAAAATTATATTGTTTCTCGTCAAGACAAAAGTTTGAAACAAAAATCGATTATTACACTAAATGTCATGTATGAAATTTTTCATTTTATGTGATATTGATAACTTTCTTAGTATATATAGGAGTTTAAGATGAAATTTTGATAATTTAATCTACTCATTGTAATTAATTACTGTTGAAAATATCATTGACCGAAACCATATAGTTACTAAGAAAAAAAAAAAATGAAAATTAGTTGAAAAATGTCATGCAAGATTTCTTAGCAAAATATCACGCGAGATTACTTGATGAATAGAATTACGTTAGAAACTAAGAACAAATGCTATGCATATTAGAACAATTTATTCAATCGTTTCAGAGACTATCAACTCATTATGCGTTATTTATAGACTGTACTTGTCAAGTTAAATAAATAATAGAAAAGATTAAATATCACATTCTACGTGTCTAACTTTTGTAAACTTCTCATAATTACGTTCTCGTATAAAAGTTAATTCACTTGAAATGTCATCATAGGAAAATTCAGAAATACTTTATACATCATTCTAAGACAACATGATCAAACTCTATCAAATAATATATGACGTTTATACTTGAATATTATATGTGAAAGTTTTCTATACATAGCTCGATGAATGTTAATCGTGGTAGTCACGAAAATTTATTCCATATTCTCTTCTCATTTAGTATACTACAATGCACTACCTATAATTTTTTTTTCTCGAAACAGTGCAATAAATATGCAATTTACTTATGTTCATATGAAAATACTTTCTCACAGAAAGTCGATAACTTTCGCATCGTCTGTTCGATCTCTACTAAATAAAAGACGAACGAAGACAGTTTTTGCTGAATTTTCAGATCCTCTAACCATTAGAAATCATACAATGTACAAGGAGTAGTACAGCTGTAATAATCGGTAATTTCGTATTATAAGCAATCATTTTTGTCCTATAATTCTATATCTGTAATCATCTTATTTTCATGATATCATAATAAAGAAATATCTACTTTTCTCCATCAGAGCTTGTCGAGTCCAAGTCCGAGATCAATCCAACGGGCTCTATTCTCTATTAACGATAAGGATTTCTTAAAATAAGCGTACATTTAAACACAGATTGAACACAGTAAAATATAGAAAAATGAATTGTTCTGTGAATAAGAAAAAGTTTAATTATGGTAACAAGAATTCTTACTTCCTCTTGTTTCATTATATTTTATCGCTAATCTGAAAACGTGTGTTTTAATATAGAACTTTTTATCTAAATTTAGAAAATTAAATTTTAATAAATCTTTATGAAGATATTTAAATGAAAAGTCATTTTTTTCTCTTAAAGTTACCATTCAACAAAATTCAATAAATAATTCATCTGCAAAGATAAACTAGATAAATTGTTAAATAAAATAGTTTCTTTCTACTATTTGTAATATGATGTCATTTTTGTTTATTACGTTACTTCAATCAATTTTTATAGAGTGCCGGAAATACAAAATTAAATCAGAGATTTTTTTTTTTTTCTTTATTTATGATCAGATTGAGCGTGAAGAACTGATCAAGTATATATGTATTTTCAAGTTGTTGGCATGATTTTTTTCTAGATGACCTGCTTTTTTTCTGATGTGAATTTAAGAAACTTAAAAAACATTAAAAATTTGTCGGTTATCAAAAATTGATCTGTTTTTCAGAAAAGGAACCAAATCATCTGAAAACCTTGAGAACTTTCCTATAAAAAATCATTTCAAACAGTTGAAAACACATATATCCTTGAACAACTCATTACATTCTATTCAACCATATATAAAGAAAAAAAAAAATTCTATTTTAATTTTGCATTTCCGACACCTAATATTTCTGTAAAAGGAAAAACGAACATGATTAACTTCATTGACTATTCAAGTTATTGTTTATGAGTAAATTTGTAGAGAAAAAAAAAGAAATCTTCTGCGTATTTGTCAGAGTAGACGAACAATATTCATAGTTACAAAATTACTCGAGTACTTGTACAAGTAATTTGAGTACTTATATTGACAAGTAGTATTCATTTGATGGATGCTTTTACTAGGGAATGTTTTATCTAAACTCATTACATATGAATTATTTTTGTATGTCTTGAATCATGTTTTTGTATCTATCAAGTATTTTTGTTTTCGAGACCATTATCTTTAATTTTAATGTACTCATTGATTCAATGCCATAAATGTCATAGAAAAATTTGTTAGTATTAAGAACGTAAATTTCATTCGAGACAAACATTGATTATATACAATGATTATGATTCTTAATTATCGGAAACAAATCTGCATATTTTTGCACATGGGAAACTAAAACAAGTTCCGTTGTCAAGGATGTTTTTGCAAAAAAATAAAAATAACATTTCAAGGTCATTTTTTTATGAAAAATATTTCTCTAATTGATATTTGCAAATATGATTGGCATAAATATGAGTTTAATACTATAAATCACTATTGCATCAATTATTTTGACAAATATTTTTTTTTTCTGTTGAACAAAATAAATTCATAAAGATACAACGATTATACATATAAACGAAAGAAATATTCTATGGTTTTTTTTTTAAAATATTCAATCATTTTCTTTTTTTTTTTTTTAATGATGAAAAGTACAAGAAAGTTATTTTAACCAAATTTTGGAATACCAGAAAATGCTGATGAAAATGCACGTTTGCCAAATTTTGGAATACCATGAAATAAATTGGACATAAGACGTTTAGGTTTTATATCGTTTGGAATAAAATATTGTTGATCTTTATCATAACAATCATCATAAAGTGCACATAATATATAAAAATAATCGACTTGATTATCTTTATTAATAGCCAATGGTTGTATTATGTCTTGTACGTTCGAATCCATTGATGATAATATTTGTTCTTTTTTATTTTGATCAACATATGGTATAGGTGATGAATAACAATAAAGATTAAAAAGAACAAGAATAATAAATGAATGAAAACGTAAATGATGATGCATGATAAATTTTTGAAGGACAAAAAAAACAAATACGTCTGCTTATGATTATTCTAATCTTTTTTGATGTGTTCCTGCTTTACCAATAATCGAGGAACATATATGAGTTTCTATTAGAACTATTTTTTTTTCTGCTCCTCATTTTCTCTCTCTCTTCGGTTCTCTTCCTGCATGTTGTCTTTTTTTTCTTTTTTTTATTCATCAACTCATTATTAAATTAACTCGATAAAATATTCAATATATACAAACGAATTTTTGCATTTAAGAAATCGTGAATTATACTAAACAATATTTTTCAATAGGCTAATAGAGAGTGATAAGTGCGACTGACATACTCTTTATATAATTTATTAAATTAATATAAGAAAAGAGAGTTGTCAATATATTATTATTTTATTTTATTATTATGTTCTTTTTTTTTTTTGATTTGTCATAATTGTCATTGTTATTGTTATTCAATAAAACATAGGAAAATAAAAATCGAATAAAGAATGCCTACTAATAATTTCGATTTATATAGAAAGACATCTATAGAATAAATTAATTGTATTCTTTTGAAAGATATGTAACAATATTCAAATAAACATTGCCGTCATGCATCATTTGATCTGTTTATTCTTATAAAAGAATATGAAACTTTTCAAAATGTTAAAAGTATTGAATTTTGTGTTCTTGATAAAATACTTATTTAATATTCTATTATATCCTTGATAAATCGTATTGTAATTTGTTACTTTATATTCTAATAATCATTAGACTACAAAAGTAAATAGAAAATAAGAAAGTATATTCAAATTTTACGACGAAGATTATTGTATCCATTTCTGTAAAAAAAAACATCCTATCAAAAAAGCATCATAAATATCAAATTGATGGTAATTAGATGGAAACATGAGAGGTATGAATAATCATCAAAGGCACTAGTAGAGCTGTAGAGAATGTCGAATTAATTGAAATTCATTTTCATAAAAATCAAATTTATTGTCACTTTTTTGGGTCATCATGTTAAAATGCTATCAAATGAAGTAACTATTTTTCATGATCAAAACCACGTTCTGCATCTAATTCTTCAATAATTTATTCTGTCAATATATTCACATTTATATATAAATGTATCTGAATATATATATATATATTAATCGTTTTGTTGCTATGAAGCAATTTGCAATTTAGAAACAAAGAAAAGATAAACTGAAAAATCGATTTTGAACTTTATTCTTTATTCATACGAGCAAAATATTTAGATATGAAATGTCTAAAAGTTTGAGATTACTAATAAATCATTTATAATAATCAACAAAATAGTAAAAAAATCATTCAACAGCAGTGTTTGGTTTTTTTTTTCTTTCCACTGTAGTTAACAACTGATTTTGAAATCGAACACATTTAATATCGATTTAGTCTTATGTTACTATTGGATTATTTTTATTATAAATAAACTCTTCCTGATTTTCGATACAAATACGCACGTTTTTCTTTTATCGGAGTATATTTCTCATTTAAGAATTCTTATGTTTTCAAACAAATACTGATTGTTATCTATCGAAAATTTCTTAGCATTAAGTGGAGAATAAAATATTTAATACTAAGATCATATTCATGTGGCACATTTCTTCGTATACTATCACTGATATACTGCAATACTCATAAGAATCGGCGGTATATCGATGATTTTCGATTTCAGCTATAAACGATTATAGAGTGTTTTATATTCGAATTTGAATGGTTCATTAAAAAGAATTCAAATTAACCGAGAAGAAGAAAATAGTTTCAGAAATATATATTACTAATAAAAGTTTTTTGCAGCAATATCTTAGCAGACTTCAAAAATATTCATTTGTTTTGATACAATACATCACTTCCAAAAAACCGGTGGTAGTTATCATATGAGTATGCGCACGATATTTTTACTGTGATGATCGATGTTTAGAAGCTTTTATTAAAGTCTTTACTAAATCTATAGTCTGATCTAGAATGCATAACTGTATAGAAATGCTTTTGATTGCGTTGCCGATCTTTTACATCAGTGTCGCGACTCATAGTTGTCTCTGTGTGCACAATCGAATAAATGTCAGTAATGCCTTCAATCACATCTATATCTGAACACAAAATTTATCTTTGGCATTTTGAGTGTTATAAAATGCAAGTTCTTGATTCAATTATAATTATAATTCGAATTGAGTGAAATTTTATCTTTGACTTGGACCATGTGAGTATCAATGAAATTTTGATTTGTTTTCGAATTCGAATTGGGCAGCTACTGTTAGTGATGAAGCACAACACTTTTAAAACATTTTTAAAAATGAATATTTTGGTCCTCTCGGGAATAGAAGCAAAAATTAATTTTCGAATTTCGACTCCAAAATTTACATATAGATAGGTTTTAACAAGTGTAGTTTTTTGGGAATGTTTCAGATCTCGTCGATGTAACTATAGTAATAGCGTGTCTTTTACATCACTTGTCATACTTGGAACTAGCTCATCTTGTTTTATTATGGATTTTTAAGGCACTAAAGCTGGTTTGTTTTGCTTGTTTTTGACGATTGTTGTCAAGATCTTGTCAAATACTAGCGCCATGCAACTGTAAAAGTATTTAGATATTAAGAAACTCTTAAAATAGGAAGTCTAATATAAAAGTCGTATGTTTTAGTGCAACTTATCTTTTTTTGTCAGCAATAGATGAGTTACTAGATGAAATGTTTTGAAAGAATACTTCGTTTGTTCTTAATGTTAGTATATATGAAACGTGACAGACTAAAATAGAAGTTATTACTATTAGAAACTTCAAGAGTTATATGAGTTTTAAATTGTACGTCTTCATAGAACTGAAGTGGATACACTGTTTCTAGAAAGAAATGATTGCTTAATTGATATATTAAACGCACCGATGTTTTGTTGGTTAAGTCAAGAATTTCAACAAGCCGGTTTTAAGTCTACCATTTATATAAAACAGACATATTTGAAACTTTCATTTGATGATAGAAGTAAATCAAGAGATCTAGAATGTTCACAAAAAAAAACTATTCTTAATAAGGTCTGTCTCTATGGAAAGTTTTAAGTTGAAAATCAGTTTTCTTTGAGTTCCTGATGGGAATCATGGCATTTATTTAAAAAATGTTGTATCTCCATAGTAATAAGTTAAGAGCATGAACTCTTTTCAGAGTATTCATGTTTCATTTAGATATACACAATACACATAGTTTCGATTCAAAAGCAACTTATCAATTGGAGAAGTCCTATTGTTGATCTCATTAAAGACATTTGACCAGTTTTCAAATAAGAAAACAAAATATGTGCGTAGCGCGTCAAGCTAATTTTCAATTGTCACTTAAAAGAGAACAAAAAGAAGATATCAAAACAAATTTTATGAATAATATTACATTGACTAACATATAAAAAATATCGAATATGAAATAAATTAGTAATGAGAAATCATCAAAATAAATTAGTTGAAATATTCATTTTTTATTATCTCATATGTACGTGACTAGAAGGTCATCAGCATTTTTCATAAACTCACACTCTTCGAGAATGTATCAATCAAACTTTGATTACATTTAATTTTCCTCTGCGCTATTTTTCTTTCTGGTTTTTTCGGTTGATTCTTGTTACACACTAAATCACTAACACTCTTACAAAAATCAATGTTCCATGCTTGAAAATTCGAGTTAAATTTTAAATTAGTTAATCTTAAAATTTTCTCTATATTTCGAAGCATTACAAGAGTATTATTCATACTTCACAAGAAATATAATTTCTTTAGTGCAAGGTCAATAATGACATTTATTAATTGTATTTATTTATGTTATTCTTATACAAAAAAAAAGACTCTTGAATAAACTCGTATAATCTATCTTAGAGAATGATCTTTAGAATCTGTTATATTAGAATTTTTAATAATTGGGAAAATATGTATCACTATGAGTCTTGATAAGATTGAAATCTAATTTTAAAGATTTAAATTGAATTTATCTATGATTCATGGACTGAGATATTATCAATAGTCTTTTACAATTCTCAGCATATTTATCGAATAATTATATGAAAAAAAAAATGGAAGTCCGGCTTGTATCCCATACCACATAGACGAGTCAAAATGTTTTCTTCATTTTATGGTACTTCTCAATATACTGAAGATTCCATTCTAAGCTCATTATGAAAAGTGAAGATGTCCGAAAAATTATGTTGTGATTGCATGATTATGATTAAATTTCAGGCCTCGCAGCCGTATTACTTTCCTGATTTTTTAATGATTTATTCCTATAGGACTATAACTAAACAGTTATAATTCATTCTTGTATTATCATCAACTTATTTTTCAAACTTCATCTAAAAATATCTGTAGACTAACTTAAAACAGAAATAAAGATGATATTCAAATAATAGTTAGTTCACTCACTCTTTTTTTGTTTTGTAATCAGTGTAGATTTTCAATATATATTTAGCTCAGCATTAGCAATCAGAGATGTGTACCGTGCCTAAAAAACTAGGTGAGTGCAGTACGAAGGTCGATAATGGTCACGAAACATTGGTGAAGTCGGCCATTGCCCTAAAATCTTTTCGCTCGACGGTTGCATCTTACAACAAGTAGAAATTCTTTCCCGATATTTTTCCGTATGCGTTGCACTATTATATTTCTTGAAAATAGTGTTTCATTTCCGAACACTTACGTAGGGACAACAATATAGATTTTAAAACACCACAAATGAACACTTAATTAAAAATTATGTATACGCATGTACAACAAGTAACGCTCGTCGATGAACTCGCTCAGCTCTTTCTCGTAGAAGTACTGTTTCTGGACTCTTCTCAAATTATTCACTTATCTATATTACTAATAGTAACTAGTTCAAGATTGAAATTCTTGCTTTTGAATTTCCTCTAGTGAAGTTTTTTTCCTAAACTATGATGACATTGGTATGTTTTATTACTCCTTAGCATTGCTAGCTTATTAACACAAACTTATCATAGATTCTCAGTTTTTATTTGAAAAATCTTGGATCAAGTTTTCCAGAAAAAACACTAATAATAATAGTATTTAGAAAAAAATCAAAACAGACTTCGGATTCAGATTTCTGACCCTCAATTTCCCCTTTTTGAATGTTGTAAAAAATATTAATGATTAATAATTAAAACAGATCCCAGATTTGAGTTCTCCACCCTCGATAACCTTCGGTCAAGTTTTGTCGAAAATATTAATAATTAATAATCAGCTAATAATTAATTGTTAATTAATTAGTTAAAACTGACCTCGGATTCGGATTCTCTACCTTCAATTACCTTTGGTCAGGCTTTTAAGATAATCATCCCTTTTCTTCTTGGATTGATTTCTGGTCAATCAGTGAAATGCGGACACAGAAGCAAGCAGACAATTTATGTTTACTGGACACTTCCTCTACGAGAAAGAGAATAGATAGCATATAATGAATGGATCTTTCTTTTTCAGTATTTTCGAGAACCTTAAAAAGTTTCTAGAAACATGACTTTTAAAGAAAACAAAAATAGAATATTTTGCTTTATAAGAATACTAAGTCCGTAGACAAAAAAAAATATTGTTGTCATATGTGAACATACTAAACAGAAAACAGTATGAAAATCAGTAGTGCCCTTTTAATAGAATAGAACTGATTCTAATAGTTAATTTTGAACACTTTTATTGATCGATGTGTCAATATCAAACCTTTATCTGTGAATCAAAATTTTCTACAAGACTGATTATCTTGTTCAAAGTAAATTTTCAGCTTGAAAAAGTTAAATTTATAGAAGAAATTTGGTTGGAATAGTTAAATGATAACTGTGATAAGGAAAGAAGAAGAAATCACATCATCGACTGACGAAAGAAAAAGGTGCAGTGCGCATTAAATACAATATTAGATGGAAATATTTGTTCGAACTACATCGAAGTTTGTATTGAACACAAAATAAAAAGGCAATCATTATATATAAATATATATCAGTTCAGAATGCATTAAAAAATGGATAACAAACGAAATCTTATTTTCTGCTAAATTCGTTTTCTTATCGATGAACTTTAAAATAAACAAACTTCTCAATTCACTTTTATCTACCTATAAAGCGCTAATTGTATCCGACTAGAAAAATATGTTAACTAACTCTTTCAGACCCATCATGCTAAATATAGTGCGATTTTTCAAGTTTTATAATCGTTGAATAACGCGCCAATGCAAAAAAGATATGAAGAAAATGCTTTCCTATTACATAGAGGAGGTTTCAGTGTACACATCTATAAAAGAGTTATGACTCTGATAAGACCACTAAGGTAGTAAGCCTGATGATACTTTACAGAATTGTTTCTATTCTAAAAAGGAAGGCAGACCATGCCCTTTTGTAGCTCACGAAACGGTTTGATTTTTACTGCTAAAATTAAGTTAGGAGTGACTCCTAGTGATGTTCCAAGGTTTGATTTGTAGATAAGTCTCAATCGAATTTTATCCCATACCCTTAGCCTCCTATGGAAATGAGCAAAGTATTCCATCGTCATTGGCAAACATGGACTAAAAATGATTTTAAAAATTTTACAAAAAAGTTTTGATGAAAATAGCAACAATGTATAATAAGCATCGTATATATAAAATTTCAACGGAATTGCATCTATTGGTTTAGCTATAACCGTGAAAGGGTTAACCATAGTAGCTCCCTAAACGTTTATGCAAATTTGATTCTGAAAATCAATATCAAAATGAATTTCACTTTTCCTGATTTTTGAATATATGTCACTGCGATCTCTGTTAAATTTGTTGAACAATAATGAAACATCTTGAAAGTAAAGTCAATAAAACAATAATAATTAGATATGTTAAAATATTCAAGGAAATCTAGTAAAATTAATTTGAAAACGTTCGAAAAGAATCTAAGAATTAATAAAATAAATGAAATCTCATCGTTAAATGAAACGGAACATTTTAATAAGAAAAATTAGCTAAATTACAAGATAAATCAAGAAGAACTATGCAATATTTAATTTTTCTAATGTGAAACTATGATAGTATGACTCGTCCGATTATTATTGAATAACGTACGATAAACTGACAACAGGAATTCCTAACAGGATAAACATTTTTGCTCTGTGTTCTATTCTACAGAACGCGGCAAGCATATCCATCACAAAACTTTTACATACTCGAATCTTTGATTCTCTCCGCAATCTTTCAGATTTTATTTAAGATGAGAACAGAACTATAATTAAATGTTTTTTTCACCAATATGGTAACTCATATAACCTGTTATCTCATTATTCAATAAACATCTAACTTTCTTTGAGGAATATGTTAAACTTGTGGGTAACGATGCACAAATAGAAGAAGTAGTTTCACTTGAAGATAAAGCAATTTCTCAAGAACAAGATATGTTCGCCGTAAACCACGATGAACTAAGTAGATATAGTAGCTTAATTTTTTTTTTTAGAATAGTATTATGTTTCCATTAGAACAAATTCAATTATTTAATTAACTCCTATGAAAATACTAAAAAGACTGAATGTATAATCCAATGTAAATTTTGTATAAGGTCTTGTTCTTATTTTTACAAAGAATGATCAATAGTAATACCTTTCAGATCTGTTGTTTCGAGTGAAAATCAACAATTTTTAACGCAATTCTTACAGAACACGCAACTGAACCATTTGTTCTATCCTATAACGAATGTTATCAACGATACATCCATAAAATATTATCATTAACATAAAAAATAGTCGAAAATTATTAGATGATGAATTTACATTTTCAACAAGATGAAACACTAGCACATAGGTCACTACGCTTTTATGAAACATGATCTAAAGGGAATGATGAAGTCTAGGAATCGAAATTTCAACCTCCTCCATACACACACGTGACAGATATAAGCGCATAATTAAAATCCATTTGTGAAACTAGTATGATTGTTGTCCTTTACTTTTCTTTCACAGTCACTGTAATACATTGCACAAACCGAAACATCTATTATTTAATTCCCTCTTTGATAATACTAGCAGCTCTATCATGTTTCCTTTTTAATCTCGTAAGGATTGTACTAACAACTGTTTTCGCTAGCAAGCGGTCCTATTATTTTCACCGTTTTACGAGCTTATGAAAAACAGCGATGTAAAGATGTTAGCTGTTTGTTCTCGTATACCGTTTATGGATCACATGAAAACGTAATGCAAAGATTATTTTTGTCACAATGTCCACCGAATATACCTAATCTTAATTTTCTGGATTACTGAATTTCATATGAATTATATTATCAGATGATATGGAACAAAAAAAAAAACTTTAATTGATCAAATTCGATTTGATGTTACAAAAAAATTAGGACAAAAGTTGTTCGTCACAGTATTGACTCTCGAATAATTCGAATAAATAAAATACATGATTTGAAAGAGCAGAAAATGTTCTATTGAATAAGCTTAGAACAGCATCTGCAGTTAATTAAGAAGCACCGTAAAAGAAGGAAAACATTTTTTTTATCCATTTTGTTGTGCATCACTCCCTATCTGTTTTTTTTTCACTTTTGAATATGTTTCATAAGTGTTTTGTAATCTACTTAAACTATTTTCTGACATAATAAGCAGTGCAAAAGTCTTTGAAAAAATGTCACACTCTATTAGATTATATTGCCAATTTCTAAACCGACGAAATTTTTTTTTATTAGAAAGAGTAATGTCTGAACTACAAATTTTTCTTGCAACTTGAAAAGTTTGTATTTCTTAATTATTTTCGAGTTATGTGGATCAAATTCTAATAAAAAAAGAATTCACCAAAGTGTAACGCATCAAAAGTTCAATGTAGATTCATTCTTGATTATTTATTCAAAAAACAACAATTGGAAATTGAAATTTTTTATAAAATAGAGTTTTACAAGAACGATCAGTTTGGAAGGATATCAACTTCAATCTTCGAAATCTATGCATGAACTTTATTTTTCGTACATTAATTTGTTCGAAATATATCAGGTCATAAATACTTAGAGCAAGAAAAAATAGTTCAAAACATATTTTTTAAGTTTTACAAAACGGTCAGTTAGTAAAAGCGACCAAGTTATATTTTAGTATAAAAAACCAAGAACAAATTTAACTTTCAATACACTGTTAGAAAGAGCACTCCTACCAGTACAAAATATACTATGAAATATGATTTTCCACTTCACTTCTAATATAAAAAGTTTAACGGAAATAGAAAACTAATGTTGCACAATAGTAAAACTGCAAGAACTCTTTTAAAGGTATTTTATTTTTAACATTTCCTCTTTCTTAAATTCATTCTGAAAAAAGTATATTTCATACAAAATTTGTAGTTCAGACATTACTATTTCTAACAAGAAAAAAAAAATTCCATTGGTTTAAAAATTGGTTATATGGTCTAACAGAATGTGACATTTTTTTTAGAGACTTTTGCACTCCATATCAGAATGAATTACAATACTTTTATGTAATGATATTCTATTTTATCATGTTTCTTTTTTGATAGAATAACTTAAGTAGTACTCATAGAAATTTTTTTTTTTATATCACGTACTACTTCAATCAATTCACGTGATGTTTAATACCGTATAAAAATAAAAGAAAAAAAAAATGTAAAGTTACATTTTCATAACACAAGTTCAAGATTAAAAACATCATATTTTACCAATGTATCTAAGTAAGATTTTTTTGATTATCATTTAATCTTATTGTTAATATTTTCATTTTAAATGTTTAGCATATATCTGTATTATTATTGTTCTTGTATCAACTTCAACAAATCACGCTTTGCCAATTTCATCTTCATTTCATTTTGATGATAATCCATCATCGACTAAGAATGATTTGTTTATGAAACGAAAAGAAGTACATGATCCATATGGTTTCAATACAATACTGAGTCGATTCATTAAACGTATTAAGTTTGATGATATTGATAAAGAAGAATCAAATGATTCATTGGATTTTAAAAGACATAAATATGACTTTATTTAAAATCGAATTTGTTTATTGAAAATGAAAAAACAATAATAATAATAATAATAATAATTAAAAATGTAAAAAATTGTTTTTGCTTACTATGTCTGAGAAAAAAAAATTAAAAGACGAGTTTTTTTTTTGTTTCAATCTTTTTAATTGATTACACTATAATTATCTCATGTATTCTTTATTGAAAATAATATGTATCGGTATGCATAAGTATTCTGTTTTATTATACTAATACTAAGATTATGGATCAATGACTTTTGAATAATTACACTTGTATATGCTACAGTTGACATGAGAATTTTGTTGAATTTGAAATGTGCAAATTAATTTTTAATAGGAATTCTCTTATAGAAAGGTTTATAACATGAATAAAGCTTTATCCACAAGAAATAAAGTCGCACTAAATACAAGAAGCCAAATGTGGTAAGGTTTTTTTTCTTTTATTGATAAGAAAAGACAAATAATTCTTGTAGTTTATGAATTTCAGATTTTCTGACTGTTCTATTTTATTTGCTGTTAATTAGAAATCAAGATCAAAGTGAATTCTTTTCTTTGGAGCCATTTTAAGGTTCTAAATCTATTTTCTTTAGTTCAAATCTATTTTCATCGCTTTTTTATTTATTAGAGTCTACCATCTATTTCTTTTCCGTTTTGATAATTTTAATATCTCATGTGTCATATATCATCGATGACATTGTTTAGACAATAAATTTAATTTTTAATTTCGTTAGTACTTTCAATCATACATTATATTCTAATATCATAATTATAAGAGACACATGTCATGCAATGCACCGTTGCGCTTTGAAAATCATTCACATCAACGATCTACCTGTTCGAATAAGTACTGCAAAAAAATTTCATTAATCATCTAATGTTCCCCATGTCCTTGAGATAAAAAAAAATGCTTTTCGAAAACATGCAGTCTATATAAAAAGAACAAAATGTATTCACGAAGAAAACCTTTTCGTATTATGCCAGCAGGATTCAAATATGGAATATAATGCATTTATCTTTATTCTAATGGAGAAGTTTTTAAGAAAGTCTATTGAATTTATCTGTTTCTGATTTATTTCACGAAAAGTTATGAGACGAATAACATAAATCTGAAACATATCCAAGAGGAGGAAAAAGTGACCTTCAAAAACCTTCAGAGTTTTGAATAATTCCAAAGCTTTTAAGTCTCTTCTGTTTCTTGTTGTAACAAGCTGCTTTCTCATTTGTTATAGACAGAAACGTATGTCACGAGTATGTCGAATACTCTACGTAATTAGTTTTGATGTTAGTATTTTTAGTAAACTTAAAGGAGAAATTAAGATTAGAAAGATGTTAAAGTGTCTTTCATAGACAACGCAGTTTTTTAATTACGTGCTGATTTTATGCATCATGATAATAAAAGGTTAGCAAGTATTAATGAAAGAACGTCAAAATTGAACATGATTTTGTCGAAGAAAAATCTACTTTTTTTTTCTTTCTTTGTGAATTCTATTTAGAAAAAGCATTTAATAATTACGAATAAATCATAATGATAATATATTTGAGTTTTGCTACAAAAAATATGGTTTGAAATATAAGATTTTTATTTCAAATTCAAAATCTATTCATTAATCATAATTGATCAGTTTATTCGAATTTCAAATTCCGAATTAGATCGTCTGTACTCGTTTTACATGTTTAGTCCAAACATTGTTTTAGGAATTTGAATAGAGACAAAAAAGAGCTATTTAATGAATATAATTGTATTTGATTCCCAAGCAACAACAAGCCTTCGTTTGACGCACAAAATGTTCTAATAATCTCTTCTATAATCATGTTTTCATATACTTTTTTTAATCTTTTTTATTCTAAGCCTTTTTAAACCGTGAATTTCGCTTTAGAAATATTTTCCAACGTTCAAAACTGTATTAGATAGATTATTCCAATCTATACTAGTTGCTTACTGATCCTTACAGCTTATGTGAATATTCGAGGTTACTGTGTATATTTTGCATAGAAGTTATGTAATGTAAAAGTAAAATTGTTATGCTTGAAGGACTATCCGGCATCATCAAAACATGTTATTTTTCTTTATTTTGTTTTAATTTCACTAACTGTAATTATTTTATGTCCTACCGAATAAAAATGTTTTCAAATAGAGTTTCAATTTCAAGGTGATCATTCGATAGCGCAAAGTCTGTTCTTTTAGTCTACACAAGCTCGAACTTTTTATCATGTATTGTTCAAAACTTATTCTTGTCATACTGGGTGTCTGTAATGTATCAAAAATATGATTTTTTCAAGAGAGAAAAGTCTTGTCATTGTTTATGCATGAGGGTTTTCGACCATTGTGAGTCGCATAATGACAAGTGATTTGTCATTCAGACATAATTTACTTCAATCATCATTATATTCTATTGCTTTCTTCTAAATCTAATACAAATAACGCTATCCACCATATATTCTCGCTTCTATTTGTCTGTGTTTCCAATAGATGTGAATTTATTGTTCAAAAAACTACTCAGGAATAAAGTCGAAGCTCTGGGCTATCATCGCTAGTATCGAAAAGATTATTAATCTCGATATTCGATATGTTGTCGATTAACTGTGGCTCAACAGTATTTTCTACAAATCCATCTGCTGCTTTGTACGTCGTTTCTACTTTTTCATTATGATGAATCGTATCTTTTACAGCTTTACCATTGAAATCAACAATGAATTCGAAGGTTAATTCATAAATGTTGGTCAACGAGAAGCTAGTGTTATTTTTACAAACATAATCCTTTAATCCAGCCCAACTAATTTCAACGGGATTCAATGAACAATGTCGCACTGGCAGCCGCAAGTTTTGTACGTCGAACTCTTGTACGATCTCGTCGATCTAATTAACATAAGTTCAAAACGTACGAGTATTATAAAACTACTCTATGCTTTATATTTTCTTCTGGGTTTATTGTCTGAAGCAATCTCTAAGATAATTTCAGTTGGTATTCGTTCAAACCAACTATATGATCTGAGTATCCTCATATTATGTAAAATCGTGCATGTTCGTTTGAACAACTATTGATATTTTTTTTGATGATCCTCAATAATGTAAGACATTTTAAAGATTGCCCGATATTTATTTTTTATTTGAAACAATCGTAAATAAAAATACTAATATTATTATAATCTAATCCACAGGATATCACTGTCTCATTAAAAAGACTTTCAGAATGGATAGATTCCGATGAATAGAACAAAAGTTTTCCTAAACTAAAAATTGTCAAATGCTTTTCTTTCCGAACATCTCATACTCTAATCATCGAGATCTATCAACCCTGAAAGTTTTCAATTTTTTTGATGAACCATTCTCGAGAAATTCTGAAAAGGTGTGGTCTCCTTAATGCACAGCGTTTCACAACTTGCTATCAATATAATTATGACGAGTATTACCTCAAAATTGTAAGAATATTAAGGAAATAAATAGAAAGAATAGCGAGTGTGAGTGTGAACTCTGGGAGCAGTGAGAATATGGTCCACATCCATACCATCTGGTACTGGTGATGTTCATTTCTTTATATTTTCTGCTTATTTCTGTCGTTTTATATGTATTTTATTGTTTCTATGAAAGTAAAAAAAAAACATAAGCTACTCCGCGGCGGGGAATCGAACCCCGGTTTCCCGCGTGACAGGCGGGGATACTAACCACTATACTACCGCGGATGTTCTCTTTTTCATGCAATAAACTACAAAATGTAAATTTCGTTCATCAATAACATAATAATATTTCAGTATTCGAGCAGAATGAAAGAATGTTTATTGTTATTCTGATGAAAGAAAAACATTCTTCTTTATAACCACGTGAAAAAAAAAACAATAAAAGAAAAAGAAAAACTCGCGTAAAACAAATAATCATTTCTGTGACAGTCGGTTATTTTTTGTTTTTTGACGTTCTTTGTGCAAACAGACCTTGCATCAGAGTAAAAATAGAACATCTCCGCAGCAGGGAATCGAACCCTGATCTTCGGTTCGACAAACCGACATACTCAAACCATTATACCACTGCAGACAGTCATCTTTAATTTCAACAATGAAATTATTTTATTCGATTTATGCATTGCTTCTTTCGTTAACACAATAACAATTATTTTCTCAAATAGTTTTAATTTAAAAGTTTACATTGGCCTGAAAAGATTTTTTTTTAAACACTTAATACTATTTTAAGTAGACGATGTATACATACTTCAAAACAATCGCCTTCTCGTATAAATTTGCGAGAACGTAGATGTGGATTTGTGTGTTTTATTTTTACAGTAGTAAAGGATCAATCTCTGCCAAGTTTTAATAGTAAGTGTTGCCTATATTTTCATATCAACCAATCCTAAGGATGTGCGTGGATGAAGACAAGACTAGCATCTATACTTACATAGGGTGTTCAAAAAGTTCTCGGAACTTCGGTATATCTATTTACGGAAGCGACATTTCATTAATCTTTCTATGCCATATATTCGAGATGGTTGTTGTGATATTCCATGGGAAATTTCATCTGTTCAAATCACTCTTTGGATATCCTTTCGAAGTAAACAACAGGTATTGAATTGATCTCCTTGGTTATTGCTTGCATTTCGATAGTTCTTTCAGCCTTTAGAAGTTTGGAGAAATTTCTAACTCGAGAGCAGATCTTATGTGATCCTGTTAGTGGCTATCAGATATAGATGTGCCGTCGCAATATTGCTTGAAAATCATGATCAAAACTCAAATCAAGAAGAGAAACCAGTTCTCTAAGCGACATTTATTGTTCGGAATATCAAAAACAATAATATATGTCAACCATTTAATAATATTCAAATCATTATTTGACATCTAGTGGTTTCTATACGGACCGGTAATTCTATCTATTTTAGTGATAAATGTTTAAATTGACAAATAAAAAAGTTATCGAACAAAAGCGTATTATTATGGTCTAGTCCGATCAGTTTCCTTCATGGCTTTCTTGAGCTACATGTAAAATAATGCCATTATTTACTTAAAAGTAAGAGAATGAAGTTAAGGCTCGCCAAGCGT